AGTTGTTAAAACATACAAAAATAAGAGGCTTATAGTTGGTTTTAGGAGTTTCCTGGGATATAAGTCGGGACCACTGATTTTTTTCATGTTTCTGAAAACTTCTGTCATGCTTGGGAGGGTGTATACCCATATACCATGTCTCTCTGAACATATTAATATTGCATCCATACATTTTTTTTGGTTAACTCTTTCCTTTTTGGTAAATTCTTTCCATGTTTTTGAAACATTTTTGGCATGGTTAGGAATGGTGCTATATTTTTCTTACTGAACCATTTTCATGTTAGCTTCTTTTAGTAGATTCTCATAACCCATTTGCTCTGCACTTCTCATAATCACATTTACATATAATATACATGCATTTGTTTTGGAGAACAGTTTAATGTTGCTGTGAACTCTTTTTGCTTTCTTTTCAGGAAGCAAGGACATTGAAGTGAAGACAGGACAATTTTACAAGAGATTATTAAACGCATTGATAAAACTCACAAAGTTGTTTATTTGAGTTCTGACCCAGATACCGTGTCTAAATGTGTATTATGGATCTCCTGCCCTCATTTTTATGGTCTAGTTGGTTTCTCTTTTGTTTACACTCAACATTATTCCCTTGGTTGTTTTCTTATGCAGACCAAGGATCTTAAGGGCATACCGACAAAAAGAATGTGGTGCTTATAAGTTATGGCGATGATGCAGGGTACTAGCAGTTGGCCATTGTCAAAGTGAGTAGAAGTAACATTGAAAAAATCAAATGCTAATGGTGTCTCAAAATCTGGAGTTAGTGACTTCAGTAGCTTACACGTTGGAGATATGGTTTCAGGCAGGATCAGGCGTGTAGAGTCGTATGGTTTGTTCATCGCACTTGACCACACAAACATGATAAGGAATGAGTCGTGCCATGCTCTTGCCAACTTGTAAATATCAAAAGAATTTTTTACAACCACTATTTCAACAAGCATCATATCTTTTGCAGGCTGTGGTTTTGTCAATTTCTTAATATCCAACTCTTTTTTTCCCCTTCTCATATATCTATAATCTGGTTTCTTTGTTTAACTGTTTATTTCTATGCTTGTTTTTCTGGTCAGGTTGGACTTTGCCATGTCTCCGAGCTTTCAGATGATCACATCGAGAACATCCAAACTAAATATGCTGCAGGGGAGAAGGTTAAAGCAAAGATATTAAAGGTTAATATCAGTTCTCGGAAACTTTAGGGAAAGAATATTAGGTTATGACATTGTCCTAGTGGCTGAAACAAAATCTGAGTTGAATAGTAGACTGGCTACCTGGAAGACTGCTTTGGAAGAAAAAGGTTTAAGGATCAATATTGATAAGACAGAGTATTTATGTTCAAACTTCAGTAGGGACCAAAACGAAGACGATGTAGAAGTTTGCATAGAAGGACACGTTCTCCCCTCAAAGGATTGTTTCAAGTACCTAGGGTCTATGATACATAAAGATGGGGGTGTAGATGATGACGTTACACACCGTATAAAGGCGGGATGGCTAAAGTGGAGGGCCACTACTGGAGTTTTGTGTGACAAGAAGGTGCCTCTAAAACTTAAGGGAAAATTTTATAGAATGGCAATAAGACCAGCACTATTGTATGGATCAGAATGTTGGGCAACCAAGAAGGATCATGTAAGGAGGATAGAGGCCGCAGAAATGAGAATGCTTCGGTGGACATGCGGTAGGACTCTGTGGGATATGACAACAAACTCTGCTATTAGGATGTCCTTGGGGGTGGTGCCTGTTTCCGAGAAATTGAGGGAAGGAAGACTACGGTGGTTTGGGCATGTCCTTAGGCGACTACCATCTGATGTGGTCAGGAGGGTAGAGTCGATTACAGTCGACGGTGCCAGAAGGAGAGGACGACCAAGGCGGAAGTGGGAAGACTGCTTGAGATCTGATTGATGGATTTAGCCCTTACCGAGGACATGACCTCTGATAGGAAAGTATGGAGACTTAAGACTAGGATAGTCGAGTAGTGTGGGTCACATCTCTAGTGTGTATCATCTCTGTCTTCTTTTACTGCCTTTGTAGTAATTTACATAACTTCTACTTTTTATCCGTTTTTATTGGTATTTTGAAGGCTTAGAACTGGCCTTGCTATCGTTTGAATTCTGTGTATCATTCTCTCCACTTTTGAATTTAGTCGGGTCTTACGTTTCTGTCCATATACAAAGATTACTGCCCATTACAGACGCGCATATGACATTAATGATATTAATGACTGCAGATGAATACTGTACAACTATGTATTAATGTATTTATTTATACATGCATTGCATCTTATCTATATTTTTAATTTTCTGACTGCCGGATGTCTTCCACGGAAGCTACTCTCAATCTGGCGTTGGGGGCAGCCTACTACCCTACCTCCCCCTTATCCCATTGCATATGAGAATTGGGTTTTGTTGTTGTTGTTGTTGTTGTCAGTGTCTATTAATGTTAAGGTTGACCAAGCGTTATAAACCCTTTTTACATGGAAAATTTTCTAACTAAAAGAAAAGTTTATCTTTACATGTATTGGATTCCTAAATTAACTAATAACACATTTTTCGTATTAATTAAACCGCAAACAATTAACTAAAAGAAAAGTTACTTGCATTTTAGAGTACAAATATGAGTATTGATTGGCATAAATCATTGAATGAACTAATTGTTACTTGCATTTGAATTCAATTGGCTTTGTAAATCTAGCGTTATATTTTATTACTTTTTGCTTATTAAATCAACTTTGTGAACAGATTTGACATTAACAATGTGGTAAATCATTGTACCAAGAGGTTATTTGAATAAGTAATGCAGTAAACAGAAAAAAGAATAAACTAAAACAGAAAAATAAGAACAAAATGAAGGTAGACTGTTAAAACAATAGCGTCCTATTAATATCCCTTGAGAGGGTGTATCAGTATGGTAACAGTAACTCCAGGTCCATTATTTAGATATTTTATAATGTTTGTTAAATTATAAAATTAGATAGTGATGGTTAATTGAACATTTTGCATATAACTTTTCCTATATCATCTAGTAGTCTCCCTCGAAGCCTGTAAATTTAGGTTCTTATTTCTTTCTTCTCTTTTAATCTTTTTGTCAGTTGGATGGGCAAAAACATCGGATTTCCCTTGGCATGAAAAATTCATATTTTACTGATGATATTGGCATCACTGAGCAAGGAGACTCTGACGATGACATTGAAGAGACTGATGTCACGGATGACGAGGCAAGATCAATACAGTTGACAGATAGTACTCCTGGGATGAACATCGAGTATGAAAGTGGAGCCAGCTCTGTTCTTTCCCAAGCAGAATCAAGAGCTTCAATTCCTCCACTTGAGGTCACCATAGATGACATTGAACATGCTGATATGGATATTAGTCAAAATCAAGCAAATAATGACGATGCAATCAGCATTGACAAGAAGAGCAAGAAGCGGGGAAAAAAGAAAACAAAGGAAGAGAGATCATTTGTAACCCTTATTCTTTTTTGGTTTTGTCAGTCTAGGGATGGTTGTCCCGACTCTTAACTCTATTCTATTCTTGAAAACTGTCCTTTTCAGGGAGCGAGAAATTAGAGCCGCTGAGGAAAGACAATTGGAGAAGGATGTACCAAGAACTGCTGATGAATTTGAGAAACTTGTTAGGAACTCTCCTAACAGCAGTTTTGTTTGGAATAAATACATGGCTTTTATGCTTAATTCAGCTGATATCGAGAAAGGCCGTGCTATTGCTGAAAGGTATAATTATTTCAGACCCTTTTGTATGATTTTAGAATTTTATGACAACCGAACAAAGTCGTAAATCTACATGATTTAAATTAGATTGTCCATGTTAACATGCTCATTTTACTTATTGTCTCTAGTGGTTTACTTGGGTAGTTGGATGCTCGTGAGACAGATTCTTTAGTCTATAGTTATAGGTCTGTTTTACTGGATGATGTAGCATCTTTGTTGGTCATAGTTTGTAGTTTAGCATTTTGGGTCACTGTGATTCAACTGGAATTTTACTTCCAAAGAATTTATTTTGAATCAGTATGGGAATCCTCCAGAGGTAACATTGAATCTACAATGCATATTTGAATTGAATATTTTTGCTGTTTCAAAATTACACCATAACTTCAATTGTGATGTTATTTCAGGAAGCTGTGCAAAAGGTATTTCAAAGAGCATTGCAGTATTGTGATCCCAAAAAGGTACATTTTGTACTCCTGGGCGTGTATGAGAGGACAGAACAACATAAATTGGCCGATGAGCTACTTGACAAAATGAGCAAGAAGTAGCACTCATGCAAGGTATTCTCTGAGTTCCTGTATCATTTCTTCTTTCCAGAAATTCGATAAAATCTAGTTTTAAAAGAGTAGGAAATTTCAGGTTTGGTTGAGGCAGGTGCAGACGCTATTGACCCAACAGCAGGATGGCATTCAACCTGTTGTAAACCGTGCTTTACTATGCCTTCCACGCCATAAGCACATAAAGTTCATTTCACAGGCAGCTATACTTGAATTCAAATCTGGAGTCCCTGATAGGGGGAGATCTATGCTTGAGGGAATTTTACGAGAGTATCCAAAGAGAACAGATTTGTGGAGCATTTATCTTGATCAAGTGAGGACCTTTTGATTTTTGGTTGTATTATTAATAATTGGCACATACGTTACCATTCTCAATCAAACTTGACAGGAGATTCGACTTGGAGATGAAGACGTGATCCATGCTCTGTTTGAAAGGGCAATTAGTTTGAAATTACCACCCAAAAAGATGAAGGTGCATTTACCTTTTTCTTTTTACTGCCTCAAAATGTTTTCGGATAAGCTGTTAATTTTGTTTTTAATCCTTTCCTGTGTTGGTACTTATGGAGCTGTTCAATTTGCAGTTTCTGTTGACGAAGTATCGTAATTACAAAGAGTCCCGCGGTGATGAGGAAAGAGTAAAATCCATCTTGCAGAAGACGATTGATTACGTTAATAGTATTTGATGTGGAAATATGCAAGTCCATTAAAATTATTACAGAACCCTACTTCTTGATTAGAACTTGTTTTAGAACCCTAAATAGTAAATTATATGCTGTTAGATGGGGGAAATGTCCCTCTGTATTTAGCATCTTGACTTTGGCATTGCCTCCGACCTTGCTTTTCATGTAAAATGCTACTGCTCGAGGAACAATGTAATCATTTTTGGATTGGATTATTGTGCAAGGCACTTTAACTCGAGGTAACTTGTGTCTGAGGTCACTTGAGAAAACAGCTTTAGCAGCACTCAGCGCAATATCTGGTTTCATCCTCCCCAAGCTTTTATTAAATTCAGCTATGGCGGCCGTATTGTTCACTCCCACAGCTGTTGGTGCAAAATTTTGAACCCACCCCCTGAAATTTTCACTTATGTTTCTGTAGACTGCTTTGATTTCTGATTTGGTAAAGCCTCCCTCGTATCCTTCTTCATTGATGTACCTACACCGTATCAATGAAGAAATTACTAATAATCGAATTTTGAGATCGAGTCTTTGAAACAAGGTTTTCCTTTAAGTCTAATTACGTTGCAAATATTTCCTAATACTTGTATGGCATAATGATAAGAAAAAATACATGATGTTTAATTAAGTAATCATTTTGTATCATATTTTTTTTGGGAGCATTTTAATTCTTAACTTTTTTTTAAAAAAGAATATAAACTATTAGTCAGTTAATGGTTAATGTTAAAAAATATGGGTTTTTATCTTAAAATGAAATGTTGAAGGTTAAAATACTTTAAAAAGGTATAAGGACTAAACTGATTATGTATGTTTAGAGGCTTCCCCCCTAAAAGCAGTGGCGGATGCACTAATCCCCCATAGGGATCAAGTGCATCCCTTATTTTGAAAATTAGTTAAATTTAACTTAATGGTGAAGGAAAAAAAAATTATAATTTTTGCATACCCATTATTTTTATGAAAAAAAATTAAAATATTGAGACCCCATTCTTAAATTTTTGTATCCGCCACTGCTTAAAAGTGAAACATTATAGTACTTAAAAAAGTATGAATTAAAATGATTATTTAATAAAATGTTAGGGATATATATATTTTAGTATGCCTACCTTGCATATTAGATGTTTTTCATATAACAACGGGGTATGTAAACCTAAAAAAGAAAGAAAAATAAAATGGAGTAAGGATAGAATCAGGGATGGATCAGGGTGGACGACGGTATATTTTAAAATTTTTAATGATTTTCTATTAAAAATATGTTTTTATCCTTTAAATTTTATAAATTCGTCATTTTTTTAAATTTTAGAAATTCTCCTCTCTACCATAAATCTTGCCTTGTCCCGGGATAGAAAAGGGGTACGTGAACAATTTAGTTTGCAAACTCAAGTGCATGCATGGAAGTGTTGAAGAAGTCAAGCAGGATGGGCAACTCACCTAGGGGAGCCACTGAGAAGAACAAGGTGGTTAAAAAGGTGAGGCCTGTTGATTGCTGCCAGGCATCCAACCATGGCAGCCATGGAGTGGCCTACATAAACAGTGTGGTTGAGTTGCAGCCGATCTGCGAGGCACACCAAATCATCGGCGTAGGCCTTGAAATCAGAGTGATACCTTTGAGGATCATAAAGCAAAGGGTCAACGTTGGGGGAGAAAACCATGTCGAAAACCACCACCTTGAAGTACAAGGCAAGCATGGGGAGGAGGAAATGCCATGCACCCTGCGTCTCGCCGAAGCCATGAGCCAGAACCACCGTTTGAGTGTCGTTTCCGTATATCTTTGCGTTCAGTGCGTCTGCTATGCCGCCGTTAGCACACAACTTTCCATTGCAAATGGATAACAGATCTCCTGCTGTTTTGCTTCACTTCCTTGGCTGCTTTATATTTCTTCTGCCTCTTATCTTTTGCGTGTGAAATGTTTAAACAAAATTAGGATGGAGTAGGGGTGTGCAAAATTACCCGGCCCGGTTGATTCGATCCGTCGACCCGGATCTAAAAAAACCGGGCAATTCTCTAAAAAAAATTATCCGGCCCGATATTTTCCGGGTCGGGCCCGGGTCACAAAATCTAGTTTTTCCGGGTACCCGGTTACCCGAGTATCCGGTTAGTTTTTATTTTTTTTTATATATAATTATATAAAATATAATGAGTTATTTATATTATAGATTATTATATTTTGTATTTTGAACTTTTAAATTTTATGTTCGGATATTAGAGTATGTAATTCGAAGTTTCGAACATTTAAATTTGTGTATATATTTTTTTAAATTAATAATTTGAAAATAAAAAATTAAAAACCGGGTATCGGGTACCAGATTACCGGTACCCGTAACATCCGGATCGGGACACGGGCCGAGAAATCGTCGACCCGGAAGTTTCGGGTACCCGAATTTGCACACCCCTAGGGTGGAGTGAATGAAATCTTTTTATTATACTATTTTTATCAATAAATAAAGTTGTAACACCCTAAACCCGAATGGACTTAAAGTGCCATATTGGCCTGTCGAGACAACCCCTGATTTTCAAAACCTACTTATTTCTTTTAAAACATACTCAATGGTATCATACAACATACAAAACGGTTATTAAAACATTTTATTAACCGGGGCTCCATGACACATGGTTTAAAACAAAATAATACAACTCAAGATTTGATAAAACAAATACATAAGTAAGGTTCTCTTAATACACATGCCCACTAAAACTACAGTACAATACTCTGAAAGAGATGCTGGAAGTCCTGCTACGATGGTGCTCCACGAACGGATCAACTAACAACTTGCGAACGAAAAACATCCGAAGGTTGAGCTTACAAAGCCTAGTAATATAATCGCTAATCTAGATCAACATTAAGAATTTCATAAATATAGGCATGCTAAAGATATGATACTAAGCAGTAGGTAAATGCATGATATATATCAAATGCTGCCTACTTAAGGTCTTAATGTTCTATCTAAAGTAAGAACCTATGTTTCCATTAATCCTCTACTAAGTGTCTCGCCATGATTACACCTCTATCGGGTCTCAACCCAAACTAATTGCGACTGGTTTGCATTATCTAAATACGACTCTTGACTCGACTAGGCATTATCCAAATATGACTTAACATACATCAAACACACAAACAAGGGTAGGCATCATGGTGTAGTCGGGGGTCACATAGCATCTCTGGACTCACACCCCTCTAACCTACCTAGGGTGAGTTATGAAATTTTGCATCAGAAACAACACCTGACTAATCCACCCCTTACAAGTGTTAGACCTAGCACCCAAGTTAGCCACTGAATTGCCTCGTACACTTGATTTGACATATCTAGATATTCTAACAACCCGACTAACCCACCTCTAGCGAGTTTTAGGTCATACGCCTAAATTAGACATGGAAGTGCCTCGCGCACTAGCTTAGATATATCTAAATATTCTAACAAACAAGACACACACATACAAGACGATCAAAATCTTTCGTACGTGACTGATGCAACTATATATACATATTTAAGGGCCCTAAGGCCATGCAACACTGACATCGCTAACCCACTCCCTGTGAGTGTTTTATCATCGCGCCTTAGTTAGCCATTAATGTGCCTTGCACACTGACAATGCCTCACCAGGGTAACTAAGGTAACTTGGCTAAACCTTAATATAGCTAGGCATACTAAAGTGAGGTCACCCTCTCACTAGTTGTTATCTCGCTCGTTCCTTATCTAGAACGTTACACAATGATCTATTAGTATATTACTATTGTTAGTTTTTAAGTTGCTATATTCTGGTCATTCGTTACTTAAGGGCATTTTAGTAATTCTCTGACTCTAAGAAAGTTTATCTCTATGGTTACTCTTCACTAGTTGTACTATTTGCTAGCCCGATACCTGACTCGGGTTCAACTCTAAGTAGAGACATTCTAGTTGCTCTTACTACATTTTTCTTTAATTTACCGTCGAATTAGAGAGACGATTGTACATCCACCATTCATTGACATTCCTACAATTCATGAATCTACCATCTCATAATCTGATAAATTCTTTATACTGTTTGTCAGTACATCCTCATCAATGGTCCTTCATTCTTAGATACTCGTTACGTGCTCAACTAAAGATCAACTTGAACGTGTTACACCTACTATGGTTGCTTCCATTTTAATCCACTCCTACGAGTGTATTCAGGCCCCTTTGGCCATTTACGTCCCTCACAGGCTAAGGTTTACCATTATATATCATTATTCCCTCTTACGGGCCTTAATGAGGTCAAATATAACCTTCCAATGTGAGTAGTCTACTTGAAGTATCGATACCCCTATGAGTATCGGTACCAAAAAGCATTATGTTGTTAAAATTTAGGCCTAATATCGATACTGTTACCCTGAGAATCGATATTGTAGGGGAAGTATTGATATTCTCCCCAACAGTATCAATACTCCCAGTTGGAAAACAAATTTCCCCCAATTCAACACCATATCGATACTGTTAATCTAGTATCGATACTCGAGCCCAGAAATGTCTTATTTAGGCTTGAGAAACACTTAAAAATCGTCATAAATGTCTTATTTTGGTTCCTAATCATGTGCTAAAGCTTTAGAGAGTTACATAAGGTTATAAAGTGGCATGAAAACGTCTTATTTACATCAAATCATCTAATCATGAAATCAATCATAAACTCTAAAATACTAAATACTCAAATCTTAATAAATCTTATATTTATGAAAGCCTTAACACTCCAAAGGATTAGAAATACACTATCTGATGTAACAAACAAAATGAAGTTCATTTAACACCAAACACTCTTCTAGGATTGGATGATAAAAACCCCACTTTCTCTTGCAGAAAAAATAGAAACCAAAATCTAATCCTTAAACAATGTTGCTAGAGGGATTATGGACGTATTTGAAGATGAGAATGCTTGAACTTACTTTGTTATGGAACTTGAAGAGGAAAATGAGAGAAGGAGAATGGAAAAAAAAAAGGAATAAGTGAAGAGAAGAATTAAATGAAAGAAAGAAATAATCTTTATCTTTTTAAAAGGGTAAAATTATCATTTGGTATTTCAACATCTTTTTACTAGAAAAAATCCATTTTATTTACAATTGGGCTTGATCCAAACCCATATGTTCCACAACTAGGCTAATAAAAATATGAAATTTATGGGTTTACAGCCTTTCCGGTAAACTCGAAACTACTAGCCTAGAATTTAGGGTGTTATAAACCCTCCCTTCCTTAAAAAATTTCGTCCTTAAAATTTACTCAGACGAACAATGATTTATCAGGTCAACCACTTAGAACCCTCGAAGCCTCTAAACCCATATTAACATGGTCCTCACGGAAATAGTTTCCTACAACATGACTTGTAATTCGAAGACTCCCAAACTGATCTAAAACCATTTCCTTATAGGGTGGTACCTACGTCGAACCTTAACGAAAACCCTTGAGAAACGTAAAATCGTCAAGTCTTAGTCTGGTTGTCTTAACATGAGTACTTAGAACGTTTTGCAGGGAAAACACTGGCTTATTTATTTATTCGAGTTAACTTACTACAGAGCCCGATAACCTTTTTTACTCGCTAAACATAGGTAACTCGTCATGCTACATATCGAGATCTTACGACACATGTCAACACTATCTCGATACTGACTATTGAAGATATGACGATAATTCTCAACTTTCTAACGTCAATCTCTATTCTTCTGTTGTGTAACTCTGGTTCAATACTTATCTACACTACCTGATTATTTTTCATTTACCTTGCGGTTTACTTACGTAACACTAGTAACATCTGGTTTTCCTGGAAGCACAACTCATAAGGTGGAGTTCTCACGCAACCTTACTCTGACTTAAAAGTTCTGAGACTATATATCTTATCACTATCTCTCGCCACCATTGAGTTTCCCAATAACGATTAACGCTAGTCAAACGACACTTAACATACATGATTTCCTTAAATCTCGGTACTAAAATCCACGGTACTACACAATGTTGCATACTGTTATGTGTTGTATATAGCCCGTGTTTATATACCAACACGAAGTCATCACTGACGGGGCTTGGCTTGCTTAGCTAAATCACTTATTGTTCATGCACGAATGGATCCTAACGAAATCGGAGGGTTCTCTGTACCTCAAGACTCTTAACTTATTATCTTACCTATAGTACCCTTAGTACTTAGGGTGGAATTTTAGAATGACTATATCGAAACGTGTACCCTGTTAACTTACTCCTCGTGAGTACTTGAGGATCACGCCCAATTAGAAACTGAAGAGCCTTGGCACTAACTGAGATATATCTTGATGTTTCTAACAACAAGGTGATCGACATACTGGCTAGGTGACGTGGGAATTTTAAAACTCTCGCAGAGATCCTTACCTTCAATACTGAACTTGTGATTTCTAAATTTCTACTGAATCGATCACATGAACCCTCTACTAGCAATGTCAAACTTCTCTTGGGAACATACAGGGTGGAAGATTCTGCGGCTCAACATTTTCTTAGAGTTGACATTTCACTCAACAAGGAACAAACCCCTAATCTCCTATATCTAGATCCACAATCCTGGGGTCAATGCAACACTTGTGCTACAAAATTCCTTGGGCCGACTACCGAGTCTGACCCAAGCATTTAAAGAATAGCTAGGGTAACCTTGTCTTTTCCACTAAGACCCACCGACTAGGTACTTGCATACTCGTGCTTGGATTCTCTATATGAATATTCTTCCTACCTAATTCACATGACATCATGAAGAATGCATGCACTTACTCCTACTAAAGCAACGTAAAAAACTGAGGTACCCGAAAAAACTTGACATCTATCTGAGACATCATCACCCTAACCTTGCCCTTATGTAATCTAACAGGCAGTATCA